ATTGAAATCTACCCTCAGACACTTAATTAGCTGGGGGACCCTGGGCAAGTCACTTAACCTGTTTGCCTCAGTTTCCTCATCTGTAGAAAGAGAGCAAATTGCTCCAGTGTCTTTGCCAAGAAAACCCCAGATGGGGTCACGAAGAGTTGGACACGACTGAAACAACTGAACAAGAAGAGATTCTAAAAGGTGGAGCTGAGAAAAGAGCATTTTCTAGTCTAAGGCATGGTGATTGAACGTTTTATTAAGAAATAGCAAGTGGCAAAAAGTTTGGAAAGGTAAGTTGGAGCCAGCTTGTGAAGGGCTACCTACAGAGGAGTTTGTACTTTGTCTTACCGGCAATAGAAGAAATTGGAGCTTTTTGAGCAAGGGAGTTACCTGGTTAGATCTGTGCTTTAGGAATATCATTTTGGAAGTTGAATGGAACATGCATCAGAAGGGGTGAAGATTTAAAGGAGACTAATTGGGAGGCTATTGTTAACAGCCCAGGGAAAAGGTAATGAGTGTCTGTGCTAGGGTGGTAGGGTTGTGAGGGAGAGAAGGGAAAGGATGTAAGAGGTATTTTGTGGTAGAATCCATTGACAACTGGTCTCTGACAACTAAAGGACTTCTGGGAACCTATTCTTGTTACCATATTCACAAGGAAGATTCAACATCATGTGGTTACACTGTAGTTTGGCAATTGGATAGCCAAGTTCCTTTGTAACTAGCAAAAGGAGGGGAAAAAGGCCTTCAAGACTAGCGAAACTACAATAGAGCTTCATGACCCTTATGCAGTGTCTGAGCAGTACATGGAATGTATTAGGTTTACTCAAGTGCCCCATTATAAGTTAGGGGTGACTCTTGGTCCTTGAAGGCTATGCTAGCAAGGGACAAGCTTTGGCTAGCTCTGTGAGGAAAGATTTGAGCATGAACCCAACAACAAACTCTTTCTATTAGCTTTGTATAAATTTCTTTTTTATTGTATTGGGTTATTTCTGCAGTGAATATTTCCCAAAGTGCAATGAACAATTCCAAAGAGTATGAACAATTTTTTATAGCTTGTTTCATGCATTTATCTTTTCAGAAAGATTGAACCTATTTATAAGGCACCAGCAATTTCTAAATCTGTTTCCTCATGTTATTGCCAACAGTGTGTTTTAGTTTTATTTACTTTGAAACACTGTCAAACATCACTAATGATACATATTTTTAATAATTTCTCCTAAACTATAGAAAGCAAATCACCTAGAATTCATTTGAGCAATGGAAGGAAAAGGTATTCTTCCCCTACCCCTTCTGTTTTTCTTATTTTTTAGGAAGCTACCATTGTCAAAATATCTTTATGATCTATTAATCTCACTGTGGAGGGTGCTGTCTCCACCTGATTCCCAATCTAGCTATAACATATTACTCTTATTTTCCCCTACCACACTCTAGCTATATGTGTCTGTTAACTCCTTTATCAATGTTGATGGTGATAGATTACATTTTGTAGAACTCTATTGTTCTTGTACAATGCACAAAGAGGGCTGGGTAATTTAGAGCCAAGAGCACTGGACTTGGGAGATGTGAATGACCTAGGGGAAGCTACTTCATGCCCTTGGAGCTCAGTCTTCTCATGTGTAAAATAAGGGAGTTGTAATGATGAAAGTACCTTCCAGCTCTAAAACTATTCATCTATGAAACTCCTGTTTCTTTATTCAGGAATTCTTTAATTCAGGAATTCTAATATCACCCTTTAATCTATATTAGGCTTATTTCCTTACCAGAATTTAACTGTTTCCTGTGAGGTATAAGAAACCTCCATAATCAAAAAGTCTGGCTATGCTAAATCATTGAGAAAAGACTGATGTAATGAACTCTCACTTGATGAGAATTCTTCCCCATCCCCCTGTTTCAAAGGGCTTCTGGACAGTGGATGGGAGATGTGGCAATAGAACTGTGGTGGTAAAGATCAGAGTGAAAGGGATGCTGGGACATTTCATGATATCGAAGCTCTTTGATTAAGGCTGGCAGCCAATTCCACTCACTCTGCTCACGATAAATTAGCTTCAGCCAGATGAGGCCAAAAGTCCCCACCTCAGCAACTTCTCCTTCTTTGAGATTCCCTTCACTCAAATTTATCACTCTATGCAGATCTTTGTAGCTGTAATTTGCTGATTCCCAGGCCTTTCTTTCTCAAGGAGCTTAGTATATCATCCACAGTCTTTCAAGCTCTCTTTCTCTCTTATGCTTAAGGATTTCAGCATACATGCTGATGCCCCTCCAAGAGGACGTCCTCCCTCATCACTGGTCTCCTCAGTGCACCTTCACTTTACCTCAGCCACACGAAAGGGTGGTCATATCCATGATCTCATCATTACCCACAATTGTTCCATCTCCATAAGCCAAAAATTCTGAAACTCTTTAATCTGATCTTAAACTCTTGTCTTCCCATCTTTCCCTGTGTCTTACTCCTCCTAAAGAAGCCTATTCATTGTCCTCACACAACATCTAGCTGCTTTACCTTTCCCTGCTTTCCGAGTCCATCAGTGGTGAGGCTCTGGTCTCACTTTCCTCCATTTAAAACCCTAGAGTTAACCATTTCTGCTTCACACTATCCTCTATCTTTGAATCCCTTGCCTCCTTGTCTGTCACTGCTGATCCCTTTCTAAACTCCAGCCTCAGAATACTTCCCTCATCTGTCTTCTCTGCTCCTACTCACAAACTGCTTGATTCTCTCAACTGTGCTGCCTGGGTACACTAAATTTGTTATCTCATCTTAACTAGGCCCCTGATGCTGCCCAACAATTCTTTTACTCTTTCCTAATTAACTCCCTATTACACTCCCTATAACCTCTTTTCTGAGCCTTCTGTTTGTAAGCTACTAATATCATCTTACCCTCTCACTTCAAGCCGAGGGTTTTTAAGATTTTTTATGTTATGGATCCCTTCTCAGAACAATGTTTTTAAATAATTGAAGAAAATGCTAAATTTCAGTTAGAGTTGAAAATAAAGAGGTATTTTCCCTCCATCCTAGTTCACAGACCCTTCTGAAATCTACAAACTTTAGCTCTATGCAGAGGGCCTCACCTCATTATTCAACAATTCCCTCTTCTTTCCACATATATACCCTAAATACCTTCAACTTCTTCCTAACTCTAATCTTTTCTCCAGTCTCTGTGGAAGAAGTGGTCTTTCTCTTAACAAGGCCAACTTTCCTAACAGCATCCATGATGCTTCCTTCCCCCTCCTGCAGACTACCCCTTCTATTATTCCACTCCCTGCTTCTAGACACACTTTCCTCCCTAGGTTTACATAGCCTGATCTCCTTCTAGTTCTCCTCCAACCTGTGTGACCAATTATACTTCTCTAATTCCTCTGCTAGATTATCAGCCACGTCCCGTCCCTTTGGATGGGTATATCTAGAACTCTGTCTTTGGCCCTCTTCTCTTTTTGTATTCTCTCTTGGTGATTTCATCAATTTTGATGGATTCAACTATCATCTCTATGCAGGTGATTCCCAAATATATGTAACTGGTTTACACTTCTCTCCTGAAATACAAAACATCACCAACTACCCTGCCCACTGGACTGTACCACATGATGTCCTATAGTCTTCTCAAACTCCACATGTCTAAGATGTAATTGTTATCTACTCCACAAGCCCAACTTTTCCCTTAATTTCATTATTTCTGTCCGGGGTACACTATCTTTCCACTTGCTCTGGTTAAATTCAGCCATCCTCAATTTTTATTTATTTTCCTTCACTGATTCCTCTGTCCCTCTTTTCTCTATATCCAAATCAGTTGTAAAGTCTTATCAGTTCTACCTCCGCAGCAGCTCTCATACACGTCCCCTTCTCTCCACTTGCATAAACATTACCCTAGTTTAGGCTCTTATCCACCTCCTAGATTATGGAAATAGCCTTCTGATTGATTTCTCTGTCCCTAGTTGCTCCCTTTTTCATTCCATCCTAGAAAATTATAAAATTCCTAAATAGAAAGTCTAACCATGGTGCTCTGTTCCAGAAACAGCGCTTCCCAATTGTTTCTAGGATAAAATACAAAGTCGTGTATTTGTTATTTTAAATCCTTTGTAAATAGGGTACACCAAATAGTTCAAGACTGATTCCACATTACTCCCCCTCACACTAGATACTCCAGTCAAATTAGCATTATTTTCTGAACCTGCAGTTCATTCCATCTCCCCAGTTTTTTTGTGTTTTTTTTTTTTGTCTTTTTTACAGGCTATCATCCATGTCTGAAATGCTGTCTCCTTTAACTCAGAATCTTTAGCATCCTTCAAGGCACAACTCAGCTGCTTCCTCCTATATGAGGCCTTTGCTGATCTCTTTGGTGTATATGGGTTGTCCAGGGAGGACTAGCACCAGTAGGCTATGAGGGCTGCTGAGTGCTTTACAGAGTTGCTTATCTACCTTTGCTCTCACTGGTGGCTCCAAGAAGCTGTAGCATGTGCAGTGGCCACACCCTCGTAAAATCATCTTGGCAGATGGGTTAAACCATATTGAGGGTAACTGACAGTCATCAAACCCATTAGTGAGGTGGGGGGAGTGACTACCCCAAGCATGTGAAGACTTCCCCAGTGGAAGAGGCAGATGTTAACAATTTGTTCCAATGGACTATGAAGGCAACTGAAGCAGGCACTGTGGAATTCTTAGAGCTTGGTCAGATATTGAAGACACCAAAGTCATCCACTGCATTCAGAGCTATCACCAGTCATCTTAACTTTTGTCTTGCCGCTGGACTTCGATGACTCTGAAAGAGAAAGTGAGGCTGATGACTTCGTGCAACTCTGCCTCACTTAAATTCAATTTACACGCAAGTCAAAAGGTATCACCCATACCATTTTATATTTTATTATTTTGCTATTCAACTATTTGATCTTATTATTTTACTGTTTTATCTACCTTGAAGTCCTGTGGTGATGGGCTAATGACAAAGCAATAGGTGTGGATATTCTTGGAGCTGTAGTCACAACCCAGCATACAGGCAGCCCAGGGCAGAGGGTCATCTCACTGGACTGAAGTAGCAGTGGGATTTGGCAGTTCCCTGGATGTCTGAGCAGCCTTTTTAAGGGACCACACTGTTCACCTCCTGGTACAAGGAAGGGGCTAGAAAAGGTGTCCTAAAAATTGTCTGCTTCACCTAACCCTGGCCTACTTACTGTGGCAGGCAGGGATCCCATTCTGTGGATGAAACACAAAAAAGATGTACAAAAGCTTTTGTGAAGAGGAATGAAATCAGAAACAGCAACTGCAGTGGTCAATCACTACTGAAGACGTGTGTATCTTATGACCTTCTCATCACCAACACTATCTTTTGTTTACCTCAATGTAATAAAGTTTCATGGATGCACCCTCACAATAAACATTGGCATTTAATAGATTATGTCATGGTGAGGAAAAGAGTCAGAAAGGATGTGAGTGACAAGGGTGTGGTGCACAGTGCTGGACTAATCGTAAACTTATCCTCTCCGAGCTAAACATTCACATTCAACAAAAGTGGTGGCCCCAAAGCAAGACGACTATCGGAAGACTCAACATCAATAGATTAGAGTGCTTCTCCATATGTGAACAACGTGCTGCTGACTTGCAGGGAAAGCTGGCAACAGTGGAGCAGAAAAGTAACAGGCAGCTTTCAGAGATTTGGTGTACAGAATCCCATTTACTCATCTGGGCCAGAACACTTGCAAACATCAGGATTGGTTTGATGAAAATGATGGGGAAATTCAGAAGCAACTAAATGAAAAATGAGAACTCCACAGGATTTACCAGCAGTATAATTTGTCTTTTTCTAAGAAGGCAGTGTTTAACTCCACGAAAAGTAAAGTGAAAGCAAAACTTAGAGATGCAGGATTCTTGGCTCAGTAAGAAAGCGGATGAAATTCAGGCTGACACAGATAGTAACAATCCAAAGCACTTCTGTGATGCCCTAAGGGCTATTTATGGGCCAAAGACTAGAGGAGTCTCAACTATTCAGCGCTGGTGGAGTTACACTGATCAGTGATACGGATACTGATCAGGGATAAGGCTGAATACTTCCATAGTTTTCAACAGACTGTCATCAACCAATGCTGGAGCCATTGACTGTACACCAATTAAAGTCAATCCCTCTCTAGCTGAATTTCCAAATGAAGAAGAAGAATGCCATTAGGCTCCTCTCATGAGGCAAAGAGCCTGATACTGATTCTATTCCAGCTTAGATTTACAAGGTAGGGGGTCCACTGCTCAGACAAAAACTGACTGAAATCTTCTGGATTATATGGCAAAAGGAGGTTACCCCCCAGCAGATCAAGAATGCCTCCATTGTTTATCTCTGTAAAAGAAAAGGAAATAGGTTGTCCTCTGACAATCATGGGGTTGAGAGGGTCTCTCTTTTAGTCATTGCCAGCAAGATTTTTGCCAGAGTACTCCTTAAGAGGCTGCTCCTTCACCTGGAATATGGCCCTCTACCCAAGAGCCAGTGTGGCTTCAGAAAAGGCTGCCCAATGACTCCAGGAGAAATGCCAGGAGCAGAACAGAGGCCTGTACACAATATTTGTTGATCTAACCAAGGCCTTTGATACTGTCAGTCATGAGGGCTTATGGAAGATCATGGCGAAATTTGGTTGCCTGGAAAAGTTCATCAGTATTGAATGCCAGTTTCATGATGGAATGCTTGCATGAGTTCTGGATAATGGGTGATACTTTCATGCTTTCCCAGCCACCAATGGAAGCAGAGCTATGTGCTTGCTCCCATGCTTTTTAGCATGAAATTTTCAGCAGTGTTGTTAGCCGCCTTCAATGAAGACAAAAATGGTATCAAGGTCAGCTACTGCACTGATGGTAAATTATTTAACCTGAAAAGACCACAAGTCAAGACTAAAGTGGAGGGAGAGTTCGTATGAGACTTTTTGTTTGAAGATGATTGTGCAGTCAATGCAGCCTCTGAAGCTAAGATGCAACAGAGTATGGATTGATTTTCTGCTACTTGTACTAATTTTGATCTAACATTTAACACTAAGAAAACAGATGTCCTCCACCAGCCAGCACCACACCATCCATAAGTGTAACCATTGGTTACAGCAAATGGAGAAATGTTGAATTCTGTGGATAACTTCACTTACCTTGGCAGTATAATTTCCAGGGATGTACACATAGAAGATTAGGCTGATGCATACATTTCCAAAGTTAGCTTAGTGTTTGGGAGGCTCCAAAAGAAGGAGTGGGAAAGAAGAGGTATTAGTTTGCCTACCAAGCTGAAGGTCTACAGAGCCATTGTGCTGACCTCATTGTTGTATGCCTGTGAAACTTTGGATGGTATACCAGTGCCATGCCAATAAACTGAATTACTTTCATTTGAGTTATCTTAGGAAGATTCTGAAGATCACCTGGTAAGATAACGTACTACATACTGAGGTCCTTTCTCAAACTGAACTACCAAGCATTAAAACTCTACTGCAGAGAGTGCAACTCTGATGGGCTGGCCACATTGTTCAAAGGCCAAACACATATTTGCTTAAAAGATTATTTTGTGGAGAACTCACACAAGGCAAGTGCTCACACTGAGGTCAGACATGATACAAGGACCCTCTGAAGGTCTCTTGAAGGACTCTGGTATCAATTGTGAGATATGGGAGACACTGGCATAGGACCATCCAGCAAGATGTGCCCTAATCAAAGAAGGCACTGTGCTCTATGAGCAAATCAGAGTTTTAGTAGCTCAAAAGAAATATGAGATGTGTAAATTTAGAGATACCTTCTTCCCAAATGTTCATGTGGACTATTTGTGCCCAACCTGTGGTACAGTTTTCTAAGGCTGTATTGATTTGATCAGCCACAGTGGACACACATTGACCTCCAACATAGTGATGTCATTTTGGTCCTCTTTGATTATGAAGAACAACTAACAACTAGCTGATCTCTTCAGTTGTTCGTATTCCCCTTATCTGAACTTTGTACTTACTGTGTATTTACTTTATATGTTTGTTTTTGTACATATTATTTCCCCCTAGTTATGGATGGGGAACCTGCAGCATCCTTTTGGGATTTGTTCCTTGAAGTTTGGATTCAGTCAAAGGGTCTGAGGACCTAAAGGGCCATACTGGTCATAGATTCCCCACCCCTGAACCAGTACAATGTAAACTCTTTGAGAACAGGGTCGATTTCATTTTTGTCTTTGTGTTCTTAGTGCTTAGCACAGATGCATACAGTAAGTGATCAATGTTTGGTGAATTGAATTATTTACACTTAAACTAATTTAAATGCGTAAAGCATGATGCCTTTGCAGTCACCTCTAAGTATCCATTAGGATTCCTCTTCCACTTATTTCTATTCACTTTTTCTTTTATATGGTTATAGTAAGTATACATTTTGTTCTTTTGACTCTACTTTTTATCCATTTTGCATTATTTCATTATAATATTTTTATGTGTTATAGTTGCTGATCTTTTTTTGTGTGTGTGAGGCAATTGGGATTAAGTAACTTGCCCAGAGTCACACAGCTAGTGTGTGTTTGGGGTCGAATCGAAACTCAGGTCCTCCTGACTCTAGGGCCAGTGCTCTAATCACTAAGCCACCTAGCTGCCCCTAGAGTTGCTAATCTTAAGTGAATTATAGTAGCCAATCAATCAACAAACATATAAGTGTCTATATACCAGGTACTATGATAGGCCCAAGGGACGCAAATATAAAGAAACAATTACTTCAATTTAGAAATTTATGTTCTAATGTATCACAATTTATTCCACCATTCCCCTATTGTCATTAGGCACTTTGTTTCTGGATTTTTTTCTCAAGTATAAATAATACCCCTATAAAACGCTTTGATGAGATGGCTCTTTTTGTTTTAGATAGGTTCTGAAGAGATATTCTGAATGTCCTCTTTGTTTGCAGAGCTGTTTTTCCAACGCTGTCTGAAAGTCCATGATGCTTGCATTTGTACTCTGAAGTTCTAGTGTTTCATAGGTGCAGGTTATGTTTTATGTCATACAGAAACCTCAAAGGTATTATATTTAGGAGCTGGGGAGGAAAAATGGAGACAAAGAAAGAAAAAAGGTCCACTAGATAGGAAACATCAGCCTATGGGTCACCCTGTTTTTCCTACCCCAGACCAGAGAGCCTGTGATGCTGGCCAGGAGGGTAGTATCGAGCTTGGACTGTCAAACTAGAGAAACTTTGGGATCTTTTTGTTTTCGGGTGCATCCTACCTGCGGCAGAGCGGGATTTTGCCCCGCAGAGTTGACTACTTGGAGATAAAAAGACCTGACCGGAAGAACGCCCCTCGCTTCTATTCCAGGTCCCCACACCAGGCTCCGCTTGCCACTAAAGCGCGCCTCAGACCCCGCTTCCAGGAGCAGAGCTCCCGGCCACTGCAGCAGAAGCATCAAGGAGCCTGCGCCGCCACCGCTGCCCAAAGTGCTGCCTGCACAGAAGTGGGGCGGAGAGGCCACGCCCGCACCAGGTGGCCTAATCTCCTTTCAAAAGTTTAACGGAGGAGGGAGGGGAAGGGAACGTTCCCTTGGTAAATGATTTGGCCAATCAGGAGCAAGCTCAGCCCTCTCTTTTGTACTCTGGACTCTGCCTCAGGGATGATGAAATAGGGCGTGAGAGTCCGCAAATCAAAGCGTTTTCAGATTTTTTTTAAAAACCAGTTTAAACTCATGTAATCGCTTCACCTCATCACTCTGCTCCCTCTTTTTTGGGGAGGGGGGTGAGGGGGTGTTGGTTGAGGAAAGGAAAGAGGAAGACATTTTGTTATTGTCGAGGTTTTTTGAGCGTGCCCAAGCTCCGCTGTTAGAACCATTGAAGTGTTTCCTCTCAATTAAAACAAATTTTAAATTGAACACCTGGTGTTTGTTGAGTATACTTTTGTCGACTTTAAACAAAGAAAGCTTAAAAAAAAACCAAGAAAAGCCCAGAGCAAGTCCCTAAACAAATTACAGCTAGCATTTATATAAGGTTTGCGAAGCACTTTACAAATGTTATCTAATTTGATCCTCAAAACAACCCTGTGAGCTGGGTGCTGTTACTATCTTCCTTTTACAGTTGAGGATATTGAGGCAGGCCAAAGTTAAATAACTTGTCTAGGGTCACACAGCTGGTTGAGTCCAGATTTGAACTCAAGTATTCCTAAAATTCCAAGCCTGGTTTTCTATCCACTGCATCACCAGGCTGCCTAACCAACCAAGGGTGGAAGAACTAGGAAAATGCCTGTTTGGCATAGCCATGTGGTCAGACTTTTCACTTTTCTTGTCATTTTGCTGTCTTCTAAGGCCAAGCAAAGCCTGATCCAGATGCCTTCCAGAAGTCTGAGTTGAGTGAGAATGCCTTTTAGTCCAACATGCATGCCTCACAGGGAGGCATGCAAGAATTATATTTGAAAAGTCTTTCTAAGGGTATAACAGAGTTACAGACAAAACTTTAACTTTTTTTTCCTCCAGTTTTCCCAACCCATTTTCCTTTAAAAAGTTTTTTGTCACTTTATTGCATGATTTCAAATTGACAAGCATTTATTTTCCCTCCTCTCCACTCCCTAGGAAAAAAAAGAAAGAAAAATAAAACCATTGTAATAAAGTATAGTTGAACAAAACTAATTCTTACGTTGGTCATATCAAAAAAATGTTTGTCTCATTCTGCATATTTAGTCTATCACCTTTCTTTCAGGAGTTGAGGAACATACTTCATTATGGATACTCTGGAGTTATATTTGATGGTTGTGTTGATCAGAGTTCTTGACTTTCAAAATTGTTTTTACAATGTTGTTGTTTTAGTAAAAATTGTACTCTTGTTCTGCTCATTTCATTCTGTATCAGTTTATACAAATCTTCTCAGGTTTTTCTGAAATCATCCCGTTCATCATTTCTAACTGTATAATAGCATTCCACTATATTCATGTCCCATATTTTGTCCAGCCATTCCCTAATTGATGAGTACTCCTTTAGTTTCCATTCTTTGCCATCACTAAAAGAGTTGCTAAATGAATGAATAAATGAATGAAAGAATATATTTTTTACACATATGAACCTTTCCTTTTTTTATCTATTTGAGGGCATAGACATAATAATTGTATTGCTGGATCAAAGGGCATGAACAACGAAGTAACGTTTTGGGCATAGTTCCAAACTTCTTTCCAGAATAACTAGACACATCTAACCTGACCTATTTTCAATGCTGCGAAAAGGTCTCTGCCAAGTGTTGGTTCTGGTCACAGAAACTGGTCATAAATTGTAGTTTGAATTGTGATGTTAAATCCTAGGATTGTTGTCATGGCTTTCAGGTGCCAATTATATTTCTGGCAGTGTGTCTGCATGCTTTAATTGTGAACTTGATTCAGTCACTCAACCTATCTGACCTGAGCACTCTCAACTCCCTTCTTTTACTTCTTTAAACCTTGATATGTCCTCACTTCTTTCCCTTCATTCTCACAAGGGCAAGATATTTTTCCTAGTTTCTAAGGCTAACCCCTTAAACTGTGCCGGTAATCTCATCCCCTGATATCTCTTCCAGGAACTTAGTCTATCAGTCATTCCTGATGTCTTTTGATTCTTTGATCTTTCTGTGTCCACAGCCTCATTTCCTCAGGTGCCTGCAGACATGCTCAACCTTCCCTATCCTAAAGGGATCCTTAGAGGATTACACATCTATAGTTGGAAAGGACCTATAAGTCCATGTAATCTAGCCCTCTCCTTTTACAGATGAGGAAACTGAGGCCCAGTGAGGTTCTTTCCACTATTCCAAGCTGCCTCTCTTCCTTTAAACTTGCTCTACCTTTTTTCATTGCCAAACTTCTTTTTTTTTAAAGCCTTAATTTTGAACTTCTTTACTTTTCACCTCAACCTCCTGGGATCTGGCTTCATTCTCAATTAAAATTGCTTTCAACAAGGTCACTAATGTCTGCTTTTGTGCTGTTTTCTATAGCAAGCTGGGACTACAGGCAACCAATTTCCATGTCACTGATTAAGGTATCCCAGGATGCATTGCCAGCAAGGCTGGGCAGATCTGGTCAGGAACATTGGTAGCAACAAAGTTTCAGTCCACAAAAGACATGGATCATTTAAAGGAAGGAGGTTAGTTACACACATTGCAAGAAGGCAATTGAGTCTAAAAGTAAGCCTGAGGCAGAAATGAGATCCAAAGGGCACTTAGGAAAACATAGTCCAAGATTAGGTGTGAATTTAAAGAAACCAGGAGGCCAATGAGTCCTGAGTCTGAATAAATCAATCAACAAGGATTAATTAAACACTTAGGGGGATTTGTTAGCAAAAAATCTTCACAGAATCCAATGATACTGTCCCATCCGTTCCTTTACCAGTGTTCTGATACCTTCTTGAGGCTTATCAAAACTTTGACAGTTTTATATATCAGAGCATAATGGGAATCAAAAGAAATAACAAAGGTGATACAAAGACAAAAAAAAAAAAGTCCTGTTCCTACCCTAAAGGGACTCTCTTAATTCTAATGTGTTACATTTTTTAATTATTTCCTATTACTGTATATAAAACTTTTCTATACTTACGAGTTTGCTTATTTGCCCTATTAGGTTGTGAGCTCCTCAAGGGCAGGGACTGTCTTTTGCTTCTTTTTTAAATCCCCAGCTCTTAGCATAATGCCTGGCAGATAGGAGGTACAACATGTACTCATATAAGTAGATACACACACCTGCATATATATGCACACACATATAAAATAAATGCAAAGTATTTTTGAGAGGGGGGAAGCACTGACAACAAATAGCATTATAAACTTGCTTTACAATTTACACCTTAAACAAATGAATTTTAATATAGAAAATATCATGAGAACTTTTCTGTGACTCATCTCTAAGATTCTTTGTCATTGTTTCCACTTTTCCTTTTCACACAGTCATAAGTATGTGTTCTGTTCTCCTGTTGCTTCCCTTTTGACTGCATTATTTCAGCAAATTTCTTCTAAATTCCATGTTCCTCGTACCTGTCTATTTTAATTGAATTATCATATTCCATTACGTCAATGTATAACAATTTATTCAGTAATTCTCTTATTTTGAGCATTTAGATTGTTGCTAGTTTCTTTTCTTTTTTTTTTGTAATTGTAAGTAATTCTCCTATAAAAACCTTTGAACAGATAACACTTTCATGAAATTTTTTCAACAATGGAATTATAGAATATGCTTATTTTAGATATTTTTACTATGTACACAAATAGCTTTCCAAAAACATTCTACTAGCTTGCAATTCTACCAGCAACACGAGTGTACTGGTTTTTATCCCAACCCAACATTTTAATTTTTGCTATTTTAATTTTGCTAATCTTCTATGTATAAATTGGTATCTTAGAGTTATTTTAATTTGTATCTCCTCAATTATTAGTGAAGTTGAACATTTTTTCAAGTAATTATTAACAGTTTGTGTTTTCTGTTTTGTGAGCCATTCATATCTCTTGGCCTCTTATCAATTAAGGATTGGACATTTTCTATGTAAACTTTAAATAGTGTTTTATGTATTTTTAATGTCAGATTTTTATGCAATACTTGTGAAAGACAGCATAATATAATAGAAAGCCATCTTCAAAGCTAGAAATAACTAGATTCAAGCCATGCCTCTGAAACATACTGGCTATGTGACCCTTGTCAATTTAGCCTTTCAGTTGCCAATCTTCAAATCTCTAGGAGTTCCCTATACCAATGAAGTCACCAACAAAAATTTGGGAATATTTGTGGCAGTCTACTATTTTTTTCCTGAAATGGGAGGCATGATGCAATACCTCATGTGGAAGAGGCTGGGGACCCTGTTTCTGGAAAGTGCATGAAAATGCCCTGCTCCATGATGAAAAGCATGTCACAGATTTTTTTTTTTATCTGTCAACCATATGATAGAATGTTGATTGGCCATATAAGCCAGAACTGAGATGCGTTAAAAAGGCAGTAGTAATTCAGGGTGAGTCTCTTGGCTCTGATCCTTTCTAGACTCTCTGGCATTAGAGAAGTAGCACAAGCTGCTATGGGACTCAGGCCCTCCCTTACCTGGAGTGACAATGAAGCTAAGAGCATATGACCTTGTTGTTGTATCTGTCCCTGTCCTGTCTTTTCTTTCTGGCTTTTAGATGAAGGATATTAAAGGTAGCTATGATCTTGGGAGCTTCAGAAGTTTAGGAGAGCAAGTCATTAGGAGGTCTAGAAGCAGAGTCCCTGTCAGGGTTTTTGAGCAGCCAGCTCAGCATCAAAGCCCCACTGTAATGACCTGAGGAGCTCATCCAAGCAGTAACTGAGACAAGGATTTATCCTGTGCTTCTGCTGAATTTGAAAGTAAACCTAGAGGGGTGAATGCTATGTAGAAAATGAATTAAATTTGAATCCACTCTTTCCTAGGTTCTGGGGAAATGTTTGTGTTTTTGTTCCTGCTGTATCTTCTCATTAAATATCCCTTTGTAAAGGCTAACTGAAAGTAATTCATTAAATGGAACTGCGGCACTAATCTCTGGGAAGCAAATAGTGGAAAGAACACACAAGAATGGGAACTTAAGCTAATAGCATCATAGAAAGATTTCCCTGATTCATTAGATATATCCCTAGATCCCTAAAGGGGAGATGTAACTGGCCTAATCCATCAAGAGGAAGTCCACAGTCTTGCTACAATTGTCTTTCTTTTCTTTTTTTTTTTTGGTGCACAGAAATTATTTTGGTTTAATCAAGAAAATCTGTCAAGATGATTCCCTTCTTTGAATATTCTTTCATGACACACTCCTCTTATAGTTCTTTCTGATAGCTTCCTTCTCCTTTAAGGTGGGCATCATCCAAGGTTCTGTCCCCAATAATTACCTCTATGTAGAATGATTCTGAATGCTATCCTCTGACCTAAATCCTTTCCAAGACTTTCAGTACAACAGCTCCGATTTCCTAATGTTCTACCCAGCACCTCAGACTCAGAACATCAAAACCTGAACTCTCTTATCCTGCCCTTCCTCTAACTTCTGATCTTGTTATTGGCACTACCATCCACTACCAAGGCTCCAAACTTTGTAGTCAACTTTGACAGTTTTCTCATCCCCTGTGTCTATTCATTTGCTAAGTTCTGTGGATTCTATCCAGGCATTAATTTTTCACATTAATTCTGTTCTTTACATTTTTTGCAGTTGCCCTAGGACTTGCCAGGGTTGTCATAGTATTCTTCTGATTGGTCTTGCTTCCTTTAGTCTCTTGGAGGCAAAGTTAAGAACCTCAGTTATCACTGAAAAAGAAACCTGTGATAAAGAATTTCTTCAGTTATGAATTCTAAGTAGGCCCAGGCCATGATTTAACTTGATAGTATATGTAGAGGGCTTTAAATTCCTCAGAAGAAAATTATGTTTTAATTATAGCAATTCTTCCAGGGTAAACAATAAGGATTACTAAGACTTGAGACCCTCAGCTGGCATCATTTGGAGGATGATATGCCAATGAAGCAAAACTTGCTGGAATTTCTGGATTGCCTTACTTATAATAATTTTTGTCTTATGCACAGGCTGCCAAATTAGTAGTTGTGTTCTCTATTTAGAGAGCAAAGAGTTTATTCCCATAAAACATGTAAAGGCAAAAGTGAAACAGGTAAGATAAAATGAAGAACAATTCATTTTTAAGGGCAAAACTATTACATAAAGCATAGTGTTTAGTGGAGAGTCATTTCATTGTTTGGGCTTCAGAGTGAATGTAAGTAGCAATTGTGTCTGTTTTGGCCAGAAACCCTGAGGGTCTACTCCTCCAAGATTTATTTTTTTGACTAGGTAAAAGAGGCTATTCTTTGCCTCATTTCTTACCTAGTCATAATTATTGAATGGGCATTGCCTCAGACAAACTGAGACCTGGGAAAGACCTTAACTTAAAAAGGCCAAGGTCTCCCACTGTATCTGGGGCCATCTCCAGTCATCCTGATCTATGTCTTGCTACTGGATCCAGATGACTCTGGAGCAGAGAGTGAGGTTGGTGACTTTGCACAGCCCTGCCTCACTTAAATCCAATTCATTTGCAAGTCATGATATCAACTTGCAATGTCATGGTCCTCTTCAAGAACGAAGGACAAATGACTCCAAAATATCATTCATACTATTGCTTATCTAATGCATCTAATGTACTGTTCTAGTTAAATCATGAATAGGGGAGATGTTTCAGTGGTAGAATTGACAGGACTTGGCAAATAACTGGATATGGGGGTGGTGGTGAGAGTAAGGAGTTAAGGATGACATGTAGGTTTTGAGCCTGGATGACTGGAATAGTATTGCCTTTGACAGTAATGGGGAAATTAGGAAGAGGAAAGAATTCAGAGGGAAAGATGAGTTCAATTTTGAACTGTTGAGATTTAAAATGTCTACAAGACATCAAATGCAAGATATCCAATAGTCAGTTGGAGATAGGAGACTGGAAGTCAGGAAAAAAGTTAGGGATGGATAAATACCAAAATAAAGTACACTCATTAGCTTGGTAGTAAAAGATTTCCAAAAATCTATCTCCAACCTGGTTTTCCAGCATGGACTCATACTATTTCTCTTCGTATGTTCTATGTCTTAGCAAAACTGAATTTCTCAGCGTTCGTCTTATTCTATCCTGTTTTTTTCCTGCTTCCTTTTTTCATACCGTTATCTCACCTTGGAACTGATTCCTTTCCCCCTACCCTCCACTACATCTAGTGGTGTATCTCCCTTCTTTAGGGCTTAACTCAGAGCTGGCCTACTCCAGTGAGGTACTTGAAGATGTTCAAAACTAGAAGTTATCTCTTTTCTGACCTTTGTCCAGCATCTCCAACTGCCTACTGGACAGCTCCAACTGATGCCCCACAGGCATCTCAAACTCAACATGTTTAAAACAAAACCCATTATATTTTCCCTTTAAATCCACCCCTCCTCCTAACATCCCTATTTCTGTCAAGGCCTCACCATTCTATTCACTCAGGTTTAGAGCCTAGGAGTCACCTTCAACTTTTCACTCGCCTCCTCTATCCATATCTACACAACATCTCTCAACTCTGTCCTCTTCTCCCCATTCACACATGTATTCTTTTCCAGGTCTTCATTGCTTCTCACCTGGATTATTGTAATAGTTCTCTAAATGGTTTCCTGCCTCTATCCCTTCCTGTCCTAACCATCCTCCGTATCAGTTGCCAAATTGATATTCCCAAAGTACCTGTAGGGCCATGTCACTCCTCACCTCTGTCTCCTGGAACCCCTCTCTTCAGGGGTCAGCTTTAAGAGGCCTTTCCTGATGTCCCCAGTTGATTGTATTCTTTGAAATTACTTTGCATTTATTTGGTACATATTCTGTGTTTATTTGTGAAAATATTTTCTCTTAACATTAGAACATATGATTTTCTTTTCTTTTTCGGCTAGGCAATGAGGTTAAGTGACTTGCCCAGGGTCACACAGCTAGCAAGTGTTATATGTCAGAGGCCGGATTTGAACTCGGGTCCTCCTGACTCCAGGGCCGGGGCTTTATCCACTGCACCACTCTGCTACCCCAGAAGCTGTGATTCTCAAGAGCAAGGATTATTTCACTTTTGTGTATCCTCAGGGTCTAGCACAGTGCCTGGCAGGCAAATAGGCATTGGATAAGTGCTTGTTTGATTAATTGATATCACTTTGTGAAATACCGCTCCTTTGCATTCCTTGTCTAATTTGTGGATATTTTATTTCCTCTTTTGGAGTTTCAGCTCCTTGAGAATAATGGACTATATGGCTTTTTTATCTTTGTATCTTTAGCATCTGCCACACATTATTTTTTGAACTGACCCCCAAATTCAACTTTAAAAAGAATTTAATAAAAATTTAATTTGTTCACACTCTATAGAAACGGCAGTTTAGATTATCCAATCTAACCTCTTAAACGTACAGAGGAAGAAAATGAGAACCAGGGAAGTAAAGTGACTTATTCAAAGTTAGTGGCAAAGTGAGGGCCAAGAACTTAGGTCTCCTGACTCTTGATTTAAACAACAACAACATAGGATGTTCAAATCACAACATGCCTGCCATACTTGAACTAAGTCATATTTTTAGCACATTTTTTTTACTCAAGAATTATTTCTGAGAAAGATACTAAGGTGCTTGGCATAAAAATGCTTGTTGACTAAGGCCTAAGGTATTAATTTTTTACTTTATGCTAGAATTCTTGGCTAGATATAAATTTCACAGAAGAAGCTAAGTAATTCTTTTTGAATTATACCTGTTTCCCATGGGTAAAAATAAATGGCAACTTCGTAGGCATGTACATAAAATGACTTTCTAACTTTGTCTTGAATTAGGATACTGGTTACCCAAAAAAGTCATTAGAAAATATAATAAAGTTCTATCGTATCAGTGCCCTATATAGACTCTAGAAAGAGTACTGAGAGAATAGAACTTCAAAAAAAATTTCTACACTTGATACTTACTAGCTGTGTGACCCTAGGCAAGTCACTTAACCCTGATTGCCTCACCAAAAAAGAAATTTCTAATTCTAGAAGTAATCAATTCTATAGTAGAATTGTCTAGGAACCAACTGGCTCTGAGTGATAGCAAAATTTAGTCCCATACATCTTTATACTCAAGGAAGCAACAGCCACATGTTTCAAAATCACACCATAGAAGCTAAGAAACTTCATCTGAATACCCCTTATTTAAAAATAACTAATCTATGTCAACTTGTTTCTTCCCATATCTTAATAATACTTTCTAGAGTTTTCCTTAATTTAGCATGAGTATCACCAATGCCTTGGATCAGTTCATAAGAGTAAATCAAACTTCAATAACAGCCATCTAAATGTTTCTGATCCTCACCCATGATCTTCTCCATCTCAAATAACTATAGATTGTAAGTTAGCCAATCCATTTATTAAATGTCTATTACGTACCGGCCACTATATTGGGTGCTAGGAATATAAAGACAAAAGTAAGATAGCCCCTGATCCCAAGGAGTTTCCATTCTACTTGGCAAGAACATGTTCACAGACAAATGTGTAGGTACATGATAAAAAGCAAAATAAATAAATAATGATGGGGGCACTAACAACTAGCAGAATTAGGAAAGTCCTATTAGTGAAATGGAACTTCAGTTGAGGCTTGAAGGAAGTTAAGGATTCCAAGAGGTATAGCATTAAGTGCAGTGTTTTAATACATAGAGATTTTTTTTGTGACTCTGGAGATTTCACATTCACTTCATCAACTTTAATACATTTTTACTAGAATAGTTTTCTAGCTTCTGGAGTCTTGGCTTGAAACCATGAAAAGCTTTTATAATTCAGCTCCCCTACTAATGCAGTCTGTATCAGTAAGAACTCAGGCACAGAACTGAATAAACTCAGAGCCTGTGAAACTCACAAAACATTTTAATTAACTGTAGTTAGCTTGTAAGGTATGAATAACAAGTTTAGATGACTCTTATTCACACTCAAATTCTCATAATGGAGAGGCAGTGATCCTGAAACATAGAATGTAAGATCACTGGGGAAGAGGATGCTTAATTTTTGTCTTTGAATTACCAGTGCCTAGCATGTTCCTGGAACTCATGAGCTGTTTTAGAAATGCTTGCCTAATTAAAATGAATGGAAAATGTCCCTAGAAGTATTCTATCATTCTACCTAGGCTAGAAGGAAGGAGTAGACTGACAAGGATGAAGGGGGGGAAACAATGCAAAGGTAGGCATAATGGTCAGGGTTAGAATTATAACTTGTTACTTTGGAAGATAAATGGACCTAAGTACAATTTGTACCACTTTTTTTTCTTCATTTCAAGAGACCTAGGACCCTTTGATTCTATGTAATACTTATTAAGCACCTACTATGTGCCAGACACTGTTCCAGCTGCTAGAGCTAGCTCAAACTTGTCCAATTACTCATTGGGCTGAGCCAAGTAGGTTATTCTTTTTTAAATTACCAATATTGCACTTCTTATTCGAGATCCATAGGATATGAAGTTACCAGAAACATTTGTTTGAATAATATTACCTATTTTGAGTTTTTCTGAAGTTTATTCAAATTTCATTAGTTCAGTATGGAAATGAGAGGCAAATAAGACACTCTAATCTGTTTAGACCATTTATTTGAAAACAGGAATTTCTTTAATATTACATTATTCTTTGTAGCATTGACATATTCAGAGAAAAGGCTTAGAGGCAATTGCATATAAATGACCACTTGAAAAAGTTTCAGAAAAAGTGCATTAAGGTTTATTTGTTTCAGAAGTAATACAATTATCAGTCATTCTGAACCGCCTCAGTGACAAGGTAAACTTACAAAGCTGCTGAGAAAACAAAACATCTATACACACATGCATATATACAAACGTATACATATGTAAGTACATGGTATAACTTAGGTCACCACTAGTGGGAATAATGAATGTCCTGAAGTTGTCTCATGTATTCAAATTTGCACTATTCAAAGTTGTAATTGTGTAAAATATGGTCATTGGTGCCAGCCCAATGGGAAAAATGCAGTGTGAATTTTAATAATGTGAACACTTTAAAGGATTCATCATTTGTGCTAATTGGGACCTGGCTATACATTCAAATAGGATTACCATTCTGAAACAGTAATGTTACTATTCTTAAAAAGATTTCTTTCTCTAATACTATGGCATGATAAAAAAATAGATAATTTACTTCATTTGAAAATTTTACTTCCAAGTTACCATCATATAAATTTGACTTCCTCCCACTACTAGCTTCAGTGCAAGTATGTGTTGAATTTCTATTGGCTATTCTATTTGCTTATCATATTAGAAAACCTATTTAGAGTTATGGGTTTATTAACCACCAATAGCCTTATAATACTGAATGGTCCATTTAAAGTAGTTTCCCTAAAATTCGATCAAATGAGGCCTGTATTAAATTGGTCATATACTCTATGACTCATGACTCCAAGAGTCCATTATCCATCTACATAAAATAATTATTTTACAACTGTACACATTTGTGTTCATTCCCTTTTGATTGGTCCTTCTATACACAGGTATTATTTTTATATGGAATATCTCTTAGAAAACAAGTTTGGAATATAATAAGGACTAATATAAATTATGTTTACCAAAAAGGGATCATATTTCAAGAAAGCAGCAGTTTGTATGTTAAAATACATATAAAATGACTACACTTCTTTAACGAAGTACTTTAACTATATAAAATACAAAGAGAGAAGGAGAATAGTGCCTTCTATAAATCTGTTTTTGTGACTTCTGAACCAGGTTAACACAGCAAATAGTAAAGTTGAAAGTTAGCAATTACAGCAAGATTTAGACCATAGATGACCAAGTCAGAGAATTCAGGCCCAAGAGTAACTATTAATCCCCAAATCTGCTACTTTGGCTGCAGTCTATATTTCAAAATCCCTAACTTCATTTCATGTGCTATAGCAGAGACACCGCCTCATTTAGTGACATAGAATTTGCAAGGAAGCCATAGAAAACGCATGTTTTTCAACTTTAGAGTAATAGGTCTCTTTTTCAATTCCAAAAACTATTCTTAGTGTTCTATATAGATTTGTAACAAGAAAGTGGGGAAAACTGGGGCAGAAGAAGAGCAACTTGAAAGAACATGCATTTTCATAAATATTATATGTCCAGCTTCACATACTAATAACATTAGGATTTAAAGTCTTGGTGCTGTGCTCAGTGGATTTAAAACAATATGGGTTAGCCATGTTCTCGAGTCTTCAGTGGGCCACCGTATCTCACACTCATGAAATTAATAAAAGTTAAAAATAGAATTATCATCCATTTGAGCTTCATGGGAACACAGTAGACAAAATAGTCTGTACTGTACTTCCAGGCAAGATGGAGATGACAAAGACATAATAATAATAACATACTTCCTTCTCATAATTCTATCTTTCTGGAATCTCTAAGTCCTTTATCAACAAGTATCATTACCTTGATGATACAAGAATAAAAACAGACAGGGAGAGAAAATAAGGAGTGGAGAGAAGTGGATACAGAACATAAACTTGTATTATCAAAGAAGACTATAAAACAAAATTGTGAAATAGGATGAAAGGATTTTCATATTTCTTCCTATAATATGGGTTCCTAGTAAACAGGAACCAATCCAGCATCAAGTTAAGGAGGCAGCAGATAGACTTGGATAGAGCTATCAAAATATCTCAACCACAGTATTCTTTACCTTGACCAACCTTGCCTTAGTAGCATTGGCCTTCATAGTTGTTTGGAGCTATCTATCCTACCCCAGCCTAAGCAAATAATTAGAAAGAAACCAAAATGTCAGGACTTTGAAAGTCCTAGAGTAAAATAACCTGATGGTTTAGCACCAGCTTGACAAATAGAGATATATGAGTCCTGGAGTTTTACTTAGGATGGGCAGCATGTTAGGAATGTGGCTGATGCTCTCTCTCAATACTTGTGAACTGAATCTGTGCACTTTGCAAAGTCTAACACTTCACAAACATGGAAAATTGGAAATAGGAGGAATATTTTAAGTCACTGAGAAGGTTATGGCAAAGTTAAGCCAGTTTTAGGGTAGAAATACCTGCTTATCATGGTTCCATGGTAATGGTGTTTTTCATAGACAAAGATGATGCTACCGATTCACTATCAGAACATCAAATCTAGGTGGCCACATCCTGGGCCTGTTCATTAACTCACCTGGTTCACTCAGTTAATTCACTCTCAGAGAGTTCTTCATGATAACTGACATTTCTATAGTAATTTAAAAATTTGCAAATCACATTACACGCATTATTTCATTTGAGTTTCACAACTTTGTGAGGTGGGCACTACAAGTAATATTATCCTTATTTTACAGATGAGAAGGTTGAGACTCAGAGAGATTAAGTGACTTGCCCAAGATCATACACCTAGTTAGCATCAGGAGCAAGACTTGAACTGGATCTTCCTGGTTTCAAGTTGAACACAGTATCTACTCTAGTAATGCTGTGCTTCCTAATCTGTCTAAATGAATTCAGTTTCTTACATATAAATCACCAGCTTAATCAACTCCCATTCTCCTAGCTTCCAACCCTATGGGCACATCAGGTTAATTAAGAAAAAAAAAAGGAACCTAGCCTTATATCTTTACCCCCAAAGCATAAAAATAAAGTCCTCAAATGATGATGAAATGTTGTTCATCTTCTTATATGATGGAAATAATAGCTTATCATTATCATCATCATCATAATCTCTATCATTTTAAGTAGCATTATGAAGAGAGTAGAATGTTAGCTGTGCTGGGTGATTAGCAAAGTTTATCTTTTGGGGAAGAGTGAAGGAAAAGGAAAAGGAGTGGTTCAAGACTGGAAGTTAAATAGGAGATGAAAAGGTAGGGAAAATGAAGAAAGCTAAGGACACATCCCTTCTCTGGCAGTCCTATTGGGGACAGGCAGGGGAGTTTGAAACCTCCTAAAGAAATGTGAAAAGAAATATTTGTCTTATCTCTAATAGGCAAAAAAAAAAAAAAAAAAAAAAAACCAACCCGACAAGCTAGGGTTATGGTTATTTATGCTGAATTCAGGGAGTAATGGGTGTGGAGGAAAAATGGGGAATTAGGTTGCTCCAGAGTAAAGACTGTCCAAACTATGTCTTTTGTCCCTAATGTTCTCATGGTCTTAAATGCTATTTACAAAGACACTCACTCTGGATTCCCAGGAACAAAACTTAGTTATTTTTTTAAAGTTATTTTCTTTATTGAAAAGAGGCCTCAGAGTTCTGATTCCTTGTCGGCTTCATCCAGATAGTACTCATCATCTGTGGTGGTGTCAGTGTCAGATTCTGAATGCACCCGATAGATGTTAAGCAGCTCCCTAGGAGACAAACCATCTTTTGCTATTTTGCTATCAGAACTGGAAGTTAGTGACTCAGGTCTATTGGTAGGTTGACTCATGTCATCTGTTAGGAAGCCAGGGTTCTTAAGGAAATTTGGCCTCCACAACCTCCCTTGCGTGAGTGACCTCTTTACATTCTCCAAGAAAGCCAGCTGCTGTTCCTTCCCAAAAATTCCATAGTCAATTGGTCTGGAGATGGAACTTGTATATCTGGAGCCACTGGCCTTGGTCCTGTCACTGCCCAAAACCCAGCTGTCATTTTCATCACAGGCAGAGAGCTCAGAAAAAGATCGGAACCTTCTTCCATACCCACTTTGAACAGGAAATTCATTCCCAAGTTTCCTTCTGTCCTGGACATTGTCGGAAAAAGTACGTGCAGAAAAGTGGCGCTCACGGATTTTCTGAGGTTGACTTATTTGTTGCTGATTACTAAGTACGTTTACATTTTTTAAACTCTTGGAATGATAGAGATTTGAGTCAGGCTCCCATTCTTGGGGTGAGATATTTTTTTGCTGTGACAGAGGGCTGGGTGTAAGGATTCTCTCTTCAGAAGTCTTACATGTAGTCTCAGATGGACACTGAAGGCTAAGTCTCTTTAGATCATCAGAGAAATCTTCTGTCCCCACACTGGAAAGCATGGGTTGGCCTATGATTTCATATGCTGTTTCCAAAGTTTGAGGGCATTTGCCTCTTTCTGCTAGTATTTCATCTTCAGAGTTGGTGCTGCTTATTGGTGATTCTGTTACATTCTCAACCTTGTTCTTATTTGGTTTGGAACTACTAGTCATTGTTTTTTGCTCACTTACAAATTTGATGGGCTTCTTGATGGAATCTAAATGAGGCTGGAGAAGGGTCTCAGTCTTATTTACTTCAGCTTTTTGGAGTACAAAGCTCTCAGTTCCACTAGGACCTGATTTCCTATATTCATGTGTGGATTCTGAGATCCCAAGGGTGGGTTTAGCTGAAAGTGGAGACATCTCTGGTGTATTAAGAGGTAAGCCACTGGTATTGGAATTGACTTCCTCGTGAGGGAAAATAGTAGCAACGTGCCTTCTGGGGTTCATATCTTTTGTTGAAAATTTTCTACTGACTTTGGACAAAGCTGCTAGTTTTTGTTTAACAGAAGTTCTGTTTTTCCTTTTCTCTAGATTGGTTTTTTCTTTGGTGCAACCCAAATCACACTTAATTTCATTTATTACCTCGGAAGGTGAATATTGGTCACACGCCAGCCCCTGCATTTTCTCTTTAACCTTTGTGTTCTGGGCATCTTCTACTTTATCCAACCTAATTAAATCCTTATCTGCATCACTTCCTTGAGATACTTCTTTTGATTCCCTCAGTGACCTTTCTAAGTCAGGTTGACCTTTATGGTTCATTTCCCCAGGCTGAAGTTTGAGTGAGTTGGAAGGGAGGGATAATTCTTTGCTTTGCAAAGCAGAATATGTTTTTTCAATTATTTTCTGGTCATCTGTTTTAAGTTTCCCATTAGCAGCTTCTGGCTGTAACTCTCTCAGCTCATCATAGAAGGATATAGTTCTAGGTCCTGAGTCTATTTTGTCATTAACTTCTTCTTGAGGATAATTTCTACTTCCAATAGACATCATGCCTATGTAGTGAGGCCCACATTTCCCTAAGGTTTCTCCTATGCAAGGATTGTCATTAATATTATCTCCAAAATGAATCTGGATGACAGAAGGACTCTCTCTTTCACATACGTCAAGAGACTGTTCAGGATTTTCAAGCTTTCCTTCTCTAACAAGTTTATCGCGAAGCGTTGCTGGTGAGACAGAGGTATGCCTGGTGTGATTCTGCCGTTTTTCTTGTCCCTCTTGATGGCCAGGAACAAAAGAAAAGGTATCCATACCTTTGCTTTGTAAATTATCTGAGATCATTTTAGCTGAACAATCCTTTGGAGTATTAAATTCTTCTTTGCAAAGAGAAATACCTTCAACCAGGTGAGAAAACCCAGAGGCCATTCCCTGTAATGTCTCTGCTGAGGGCTTCTCTGCCCCAGTATGTGGACTATGTGGTGACTGTAAAAGAGATGCTCTTTCAGTGTCATATGAGAAGGAATGCTTTCTCCATTGAGCCCTGCTAACACATGCCTTTGCATGTGGAGACACAGGTGTTCCTGGTAATGATTGCGTGGAAGAATTGAGTCGCTTCTTTGCCAGAGAAATAGGGAATGTTGCATCCCCCACTGTAGCTGATTCTGGGGAGAAACATGTACTTTGTGTGTCACTTTTAAGGAGGTCACACAATTCTTTGTTGGATTTCCGTGGTAAAGTGTAATAGATTGAAACCACCTCAAGACATTTTACATTGTCTTCATCACCAGAAACAGTGACCGTGCTTGTTGTCTTATATTTTTGTAGGGGTTTTCCAGTTTGCTTTTCTGACCCATCTGGAGGAAAAGGTAAATATTTTTCATCGGGGAGGGAAAACATATTTGCAAAATTATCTGTCTGAGAAGAAGCCATTTCATTGTGATTTTCAGAGTAGACTAGAAAACTTTCGGCATGAGGATGATCTCTGACTAGTTGTAAAGAACAATCTTTAATTGGTGGGTTGTTTTCCTGAGTGGTTGTGAACAGCATTTCAGGCCCTGGTGTTAGAATAGAAGATTCTGTGTCTAGGCCATAACATTTATCTCTTCCATCCACTCTACCTGAGGAACATGTAACAACAGGCCTGGACATAGTCCTTTTGATTTCGAATGGAGGGGGACCTTTTCTAACAGCAGCAGGTGTTATGTTTCTAACGTTTGTCATCATCTCTACAGGTGTGGGACTTAAAGGGGATGAGTTCACATCTATTTCAGGGCATTGCCTATCTGGTTCAGAAGAATTGGAATTGTTTTTGTTTGAGAAGCATTTCTCTAGTGGATCTGCCATGTTCTTTATTTGGAATGGAGGGGGCCGCTTCTTAAATGAGGTGGACAATATCTTGTTTTCTGACTTCATATTGTCATTGATGAGAAAGCTGCTCAATTTTCTTGGGAAGATACAATAAATGTCAAGGGGCTCAAGAGACTGGCAATTGCCATGACCAGGAACTATGCCACTACTGTCATTACTTTCCTGTCTCAAGAAATTTCCTGATTTGCTTAACTTTTCAACACAGGATACCCGGCGCCTTATTTTCTCTTTTACTCTCCCAAGATTGAAAGGATGGTTTAGATGGCATCTAGTAGCATCCTTCACTTTGTGAAGATCAAGCACCTGGATATCCTCAGTAGCTTGGTTTTCTGAAGAGCTGAGAGGCAATTGATTATTTTGGTCCTCGTTACCAGAATAGGTCTTTTCTTCACTTTCCCCTGGAGATGGATCTTTTCCCAGAAGATTCTTCTTTGAGAACATGGCCTCTTCTGCTGATACATTACATGTGAAATTTAATGAAGTAGCAGAGGGAGTTACTAAAGAAGCTAAGGAAGGGCTGTTGGGAGAGAAAGATGATGGAAGACCTTGACCATGATCCGGCGATGGTTCTAGGGAATGGTCTGATAGGACATGATGATTTTCAGCAAACTTGGTGCAATTGGTAGGAGGAACCAAAGCATTTTTCAATATAATACCTTGCATATCCTCAGCATCTAAAAGAAATGATTCTTCTGGATACTGTGGGTTATGATTACTGGAAATTCCTAGTTTGCTCTCTTCCTTTTCCAAGCTGGTAATGCCAACATCGTTTATCCCTGGTTCTTGCTGACAGCCTTGATTTTGTTTGGGAAAAGATAATGATGTTCTGTTTTCCTGAGAGAAATTAAATGAAGTTCCCAAATCTGGTTTTCTTTCCATGGTAGAATCATTTTCTTTTTTAAGTGCATTTGCTTTATCTCTTTTTGATACGTAAATTTTGGAAATATCCCTTCTGCCAAAGACTCCAGTTGGCTTTTTTGAACCTGTGGAGGCAGGTGCATCAAAAACAAATCTGTTGCTGGGAAAGGTGGCTGAATCCCTAGAAAGAGAGGACTGATAATCAGGTGTAGTCTCAGTAATCACTGACTGAGAAACAATTGATAACATTTCATCAGCCTGGCCTGTCTCATCTACCTTGTTTAGTTGCCTCACTTTTTCTGACACAGATTCTGTTAAGTCTTTCTCAGGATTCAACTCAGCAATCCAAGTGTTTGGTTGGCTTCTGGCAACAGTGACAGAATCACCATTGGTTTTTATAAGTTCTGTTTGGCTACTTAAAGGAAAGGAGGCAGATTCATCAGGAGCATTCCCTTTGATGCCCCACAATGTAGTGGCAGCATTCTGGAAGTCAGAGCTTTGAGGGGTTTCCGTTCTATGTGGAATTAAGGGCAGGGGAGTCTGAGACGAGGATGACAAATGTTGAGTGGTTTCAGGTAAGTTGGTCTCTGAATTTGTACTTGCTTCCATTGGAGGCCACTTCTGCTGACTTACTAGCATACCTGGTCTGACTTGACTCCTGGAGAAAATATCTGGGGCAACCCAGAATTTGTTTCCTGTTGTATCCATGGAAGGTGTGTACAAATGTTCATATCTTTCATTTAAGGCTATTTGGTTACCATTATCTTGTGATAGGACTTCCATGTCCTCTAATATACATTTTTGAAAATTAAATTCCTTGTGAATGGACTCTTCTTGGTTTCTGGAAAAATTTGCTCTCCAGGGTTGAGATGGTACAGGAGTATTATTACTATGAGCAGCCAACCCCTCATTTACATCCATTGAAATAATTTCAAAGTCTCTGTCAGAAGAAACAAACTCTTTGTTTCTGTGGCAAAAGTTGGACAAGGATGGAGACTCTTCTTTTTTGCTCTGAAAAGGACTTTCTCCAAATTTTTGCAATCTTCTAGGACCAATGGTATTCCAATAGTATGACCCTGAGAATTTGTTTTCATCTTGGTGGAATGGCATATTCTCAGAATTCTCAAATAACTCAGGACTGGTTGCTCTGTCCCTGGAAGCATGTGGTCTAACACTTTGGTAAACATTACTGGAACGGTAAAATTCATATCTCCTATTGTCTTGAGGCCAGGTAGGGTATGTATCCTGATTGAGAGGGTCAACTTCCATTGGGGACTGTACCCTCAGAAACTCTTCTTGGTACTGAATATATCCAGGAGAATGTGGCCTGTTCCATACAATAGATGACAAAGGAGTTCTCCTTGGACTTTGCTGATGGCTCCTTGATACAAAAACACTCTTCCTCTGAGTCTGGGGTGGCAGATGTAGGCTATTTGCTGTGAAATGTCCTAAAGTAGGAGAGGCTGATGACTGTGTCCTATCAAAACACAGAGATGAACTGCCAAAGGTCTTGTGCACATATTCCTCTTGTGAGACTGTGTGTTCTCTTGGACCATATATATCATAAATTGTTTTTGTTCTATAGGAGAAAGTTTTAAAACCTTCTCTAGGGGTTGATGGTCTTAGGATATCATAGATGGGTGGAGATGAAATTTCACCATAGTTATTCCTATGTCCCCCCATGAGATTGCCATTTCTGCTCCCAGTGTTGTAAAAAGAACGGATCTGTGCTCGGGGTCCATAGTGGATGGGTGTTCTTGTATTCGCTAGACTTAGGGCTTGTTCCTGAGCCAACTTGTTATCCAAGTCATCTAAAACTAAAAGGATAAAATTAATTAAATCTTCCTTTTATAAAGTGGTTACATAGTGTAATTCAAATTTCTATTTATACAATTCCTTTTTACCAAAAATTCCTTCCCAGCAAGCATGCTCATTTAGGATTCAACCTACATTCTGTCATCTTGAATGTAATGATAATTGAATATGTTACATTCAATTTTGTTGTGTTTTCAAGGTATTTTGCTTTTTAAAAAAATAGTAGAGTGATAGAGTGTCTAGTGGCACATAACAGAAGGAACCCCGCCCCCCAAAAAACGTTCTGTAATGTTTTCAGTAAGTACAGAAAGTTGTGTTTTTCAAAGGATGAAGTAGGCTGTTAGTTATGACTTCTTAGTTTTCTAATTTATTATGCATTTTTATATGCTACTTTTTATGTAGAGCTTTGGACGTGGGAGTCTCAAGATCCTGATTCTGTTCTCTACCTGGGTGACCTTAGTCAAGTGACTTAACCTTTCTGGGGCTCAGTTTCCTCATCAGCAAAATGAAGGGGTTGGAATAGATAGTATCTAAGATCAATTCTGGTGCTGAATTATCTGGTCCTGTCACTTGAATTCCAGGCTCACTTCACCACTAATCACCTGTTTTACCTTGGGCAAGTCACTCTATATCTCTGAGCCTCAGTTTCTTCATCTGTAAAATGAAGGAGTTAAACAAGATGGCCTCTAAGGTTCCCCTTACATTTAAAATTCTACAATTGACGTTTCTCTTGTTCTTTATTGCAAACACTTCTTCCTCTACACAGTTGGCACATCATTGCTGTAGCAACAGAAGAATAGTAGTCTCCAGCATCTCCAATCTTCCCTTGTTTTTGTTTTTAAATAAAATACTGAGTCTAATTCTGACAGAATTTCACAGTACTTTAAATAATAGTTTTAAGAAAACTTAGAGAAAGAGATCAGTGCCTTTTTCTTCCCTATTTCTTTCTGAGTCTTGAAATCATATTTGACATATTTTCCTCAATAAATGTGAAGATTTAAAGAACAAGCAGAGAATACTAGAATTACAGAATCTTTGATCTGGAAGGGACCATAGGTATCATCCAGGCCAGCACCCATATCTAATGCACATCCCTCTAGAATTCTATCAAGAAAGTAATCTTCTAGACTCTATTTAGTTACTTTTAATCATAAGAAACAACCTCCTGAGGTCACCTGTTCCACATTCGGACAGCTGAAGTTATTAGGAAGTTCTTCCTTATATTGTTCTAGACTCTGCCTTTCTGTCTTTCTTACCCATTGCTTCTAGATCTGGGTGAAGCCACACAGAAGTGTGGGTTTTTTCTGTATATTATTCCCCTTCCCACATATTACCCTTCAAATATTTAATGAGAGGTATTAGCTTCCCCAGTCTTCAATTCTCTAAGCTAAGTGCTTGGCCTTTCTTCATATGCCATGCTTCAAATTCCTTCAACATACTAGCCACCTTCTGGCTGGACACGCTATCATTTATCAATTTAATTTTTCAAATGTGGTGTCCAGGATAGAATATTCCAAATACAGTCTGTCTAATACCTAGAATACCATATGATTATGCTGGCTCTAGTTCTCAACACTATAATTAATGTAGCTTAAGATCTCACTAGTTTTTGTACAGTGTTAACTCATTTTGAACTTTTAGTAACCTAAGTTTCTAAATTTTTGTACATTAGAAACTAAGTTGTAACTGTACCTCCCCTATTCCCTATCTGTGCAATTGATATTTTGAAACAAAGGACAGGACTTTAGATTAATCCCTATTAAATCGCATCCTTTTAGAATCAGTCTATCCTGTTAAGCTCTTTAGGAACCTGATTCCGTCATCTGATGAATTGTCCATCCCTCCACAATTCATGTCAACTGCAAATATGATGAACATGACAACAGATTGGTACAGTGGAGAGAGTTCTAGATTAGGAGTTAAGAAGAACTGGGCTCAAATCTGATCTTTTCCAGTGGGCATTTGTGTGACTTAGAGCAAGTCTTTAACCTTTCTAAACTAAAGTGTCCTTAACTATAAAAAGAAGGAATTGGGTTAGGTAACCTCAAAGGCTCCATTGTCTCTAAATCTACAATCCTATGAACATAATGCCTTCAATGAAGTCATTGATTAAAATGTGTAACAGAATGGGGCTGAGCCCTGAGACTTGAGGCAGTCCATTAGAGACCTCACTCCGGACTGGCACTTCGATCTGTTAATGAAAATTCTTGGTTCAGTCAGTTCTAAATCCATATAACAACTGTACTGCCATGTGGTTCAAATATTTCTCTTTCCCACAGGATATCATGAGAGACTTGATGAAATACATTGCTGAAATCAGGATAAAGCGTTCCTCTGATCTACCAGTTAGTAACCCTATCAAGCATGGAAGTACTTTAAGGTGTCAGATTCTCTGAGGCTACTGTGTACAACAAACATTTTGAAGTCACCTTTTATTTCCTACTGAGGATAAGGACTAGCATACTCATTTCTTTGAAGAAATCCTAATATACAATGATTCCAATTGATAGATAAATTAGGGAGTGGTGATTATTTTAATTATAAAAAAATCCTTAATACAAAAAGTTTCATCACAAAATTCCTTCCAACAGTGAGTTCCCCTTAGCGCATTTTCAAATGGCTATTTTGGAGAAAAAAATGATTTTGTTCATTTAGGTATTTATTTTATAAAGGGAAATACACCTGTAGTTGAGTTTGTGGAAATAAGAGGGATTCCTGTCACTCTTTTGGCATTAAGGAAAATCCTGATATGGCTTGTCAGGGCCTCCTGGGACTTTGACTTTGAGGCTGCTTAGAGCGCCACAGCTGGCAAAAGGAACAACAAAGATCTTAGGAGAGGCAACTGAGGAGACTCCAGGCAACTAAGAAGTCACCATAGCTAGCATTTAAATAGCTCTTTAAGGTTCTCAAAGCACTTTTTGTTTGTTTTTGTTTTTTGAGGCAATCAGGGTTAAGTGACTTGCCCAGGGTCACACAGCTAGTAAGTGTCAAGTGTCGGAGGCTGAATTTGAACTCAGGTCCTCCTGACTCCAGGGCCAGTGGTCTATACACCACGCCACCTAGCGGCCCCTCAAGGCATTTTTTTACATGTATTATATCATTTAACCTTGAAATTATAAATCTATAAATATAGAAATGTCAGGTAATAAAATATATTATAAATAACTACCTCTTTAACTGCCCCCTCTTTAACTTCAGTTACTGAAGACCAGTTTTAGGGTGTCAGCCTGTAATTTCATCAATGTAGGGAACTCTCAGTGAGGAAACTCCCTCCATCTATACAAATCTGTAACTTATAGGTCTTAGGGTTGCCTGGGTTCACTGAGAAGTTAAGGATCACACAGCCAGTTTGTGCCAGGGATAGAACTTGAACCTAGGTCATCCCAAATGCAAGGCCTGCCCTATATCTATTACCCCAGTAATGCCCCTCATCCAAGTCCACAAAATTGTTTTCCTTTATTAGATAAGTGAAGTAAACAACATCAAAATATGGAGCAAAGGAAAAGAAAAACAATACCCAAGTGCAGGCAAGACACTGGCTTTTTTTTTTAGCTATTAAAACTTGTAACAAATTCCTTGCCATTTCACAGTGTGGTGTTTCTCCATAGTATTCTAGATTCATAAAGATTTTTTACTCACAACTCTGTGTTTTCAAAATAGCCTGAAAAAATCTTCTTCCGTTAGTGAAGCGGGCCTTCCACTAAAGCAGGCCTCATTCTCTGACCTCCTCTGGAGCCAGTCTTGAATTTGCTGGACTCTTTTCCTTAGCTCCAAAGGTTCACCGTCAGACCTCTCTGACTGAACTTTTTATACTAAGGCCAGAGGGGATATCACTTTCCTGGTCTCGGGTCATTTTAATTCTTTCTTCAAGTTGAAGTTGGTGAATGACTGTACACGCTACTTTCTCAAATGGCCAGACTCTCTGGAAACAGTAAAAATGTTTTATATGTAGAAGGTATTGCTTTGTGGGGCTTATGGAACTAGTCTCAATACATTAAAGTTATACCACTTACAAGTTAATCATTTAATCATTTTAAACAAATGATTTCTTCAAGTGGTTACAGATTCTAATAGGGCAATAAAAGTAAATTAAGAATTTCATTTGAATAGCTAGATTTCTAGGATTGTAGATTTGGAACTAGAAGGGATTAAATATTAAACATTATTGCTGCCTCGTGCTTTTTTTTTTTTTGGTGAGGCAATTGGGTCACATAGTCCAAAGTCACAACAGCTAGTAAGTGTTATGTATCTGAGGCCGGATTTGAACTCAGGTCTTCCTGATTCCAGGGCTGGTGCTCTATCCACTGTACCACCTAGCTGCCCCTCCCTCATATATTTGTAAAGGAACATTAGAGGATCTCTTCTGGGAATACTGACTCATTCTATAAATATTAATCACAAGAAGCATGTATGCATTTTGGTGCTTTGTTTTTTGGATTTTGATCACTGGCAGAGGGAGCTCTCAGGGAGTAAATTCCTTTCCCATTGCAGATCAATACCCTCTCTGCATCTCTAGTTTTAGAGTTGCCTAGAGCATTGAAAGGTTAAGTGACATATAAGATTACACAGTCAGTATGGGTTTTTAGGGAGAACTTGAACTCAGATCTTCCTCACTTAGGTCAACTCTCCCACTATTGTGCCACACTGCTTTCCTACTCTCCTTTTTTCATAAACATGTGCACAAACTTTTTAGGTGAAGAGCACCAGAATGACACACTAGAGACTCTTATGACTGCAAAGGATTTTAGACTATTTAATTTAGTCCAATATTTTACAGATTAGAAAACTGAGGCCCAGAGTAACTTAATAATAGCTAGCATTTATATAGCTCTTTAAAGTCTGCATAGTGTTTCATCTATGCTATCTCATTTGATCTTCACAACAATCTTTAGAGGTAGATGCTATTGTTATCCCTGTTTTGCAGATGAGGAAACAGCCTGAGAGATGTTAAGTGACTTGCCTAGAATCACTACAGGAGTGTGCTGGTAAATGTTTAACAACAGGATCTCTGGGAGGAAAAAAACTGTACATATGATACTCTTTAAAGTTTAATCTGCATTATTAACATCTTCTCCATTAGTTTCTTAAGTCACAAATCAACAAATCAGTAAATCAATTTAATTAACAAAACAATAAATCAAGCCCTGATTAGCATTTACATGACTTATAAGTAAATTAGTATTTGCCACTTATTGAGGTATAAATGCTCTCAATGAAAATTCAATTGTAAAGAGCCAGTAGGAGCTGACTCCAGCATATTCTAGGCACACACTTAGTTAAGTGTCTGGGAGAGGACTTGAACTCAGGTCTTTTTAAATCTCACATTGTTCCACATAGCTACCTACCATACTGAAAGTCATAAACAACAATGTCTAGCACAAAGGTCTGCTGATTCCTAATCCATTGAATTTTCTCCCATACTGTATTTGGACACTTACCATGCATAGTACCTTAGAATTTTTTTTTGCAGCACAGGGGTTTATGAAGGCAATTCAGTACAGACTTACCACGAAAGAATTCATTCTCTATCTGGGAAGCATCCCATGGGGGCATACCACTTCCTTCCCTCATTTCTACAGGCTTTGGGGGAAATGCTGTATTTGATGATTCACTGTTTAATGGTGAGTTGTATATTCCAACCTGTGAATTTAAAAGCGAAAAATTGAGATTAACTTTAGGTCTTTCACAAACATACTACTCCACACAGAAGCTTACTGACTTGATTTCTGTGTTAAATGCCTTTTCATATAGAATATTCCAAAAAATATAATTTTTAGGAAATTTTTGGAAAATTCCAAAAGAATTTAATCTTAGATCTACAAAGTAATTTTCCTGACACATTTTCCCCATATACCATGTTTAATGATTTTTTTCTATTTGAAATTGATAATCAGCCTCACTATACCAACATTCACTTTTTTTACTTACTCTTATAATAATAAATACTATTATCCATTACCAACAAAAATAACAGCCTTACTATGGGTCCTTGGGCAGACCACTCAATTTCTAGGAGTCACGTATTTCTTATTATAGGACAACATAATTCAACTCCCTAAGGAGCTCTGAAAATAGGTGCAAAAGTCAGCAAGCATTTATTAAGTGTTTACTACATGCCAGGTACTGTGCTAAGTAGCAGGAATTCTAAGAAAGTCAAAAACGTGACTCCTGCCCTCAAGGAGCTCACATAATAATGGGAGAGACAACATGCCAAAAAACTACATACATACAAAATATGTATGTAATTGGTTGGTAATCTCAAAAGGAAGCTAGCAATCTGAGTTGGGGTATGTGGGCAAATTGGCCTCTTTTAGAAGGTAGAATTTGAATATAGTCTTGAAAGAAGCTAAGGAAGCCAAAGATAATAAGGAAGGGCATTCCAGGAATGGGAGAGAGCCAGTGAAAAGGTACAGATTCAGGAGGTAGAGTGTGGAGCAAATAGGCCAGTGTAGCTGGATTGTAGAGTACATGGAAGGGAGCTAAGTATTCAAAGTATACAAAGGCGGAATAGGAGGTGACATGGTCAGACAGACCTGTGCTTTAGGAATATGAACTGAAGTGAAGAGAGGCTTGAGGCTTGGAGACCAACCAGTAGGCCACTGCAGTAATACAGGTATGAGGTAATAAGGGCCTATGCCAGGAATGACTTTGCAAGAGATATTATGAAGGTAGACATGACAAACTTGGAAATAGATTGTGTGTATGGGATGAGTTCCAGTGAGGAGTTGAACACGACAGTGAGGAGTCAAGGTTACAAGTCTGGGTGACTGAGAGGATCATGTTACCCTCAATAGTATTAGGGAAATTAGGAAGAGGGCAGGGTCTGGGAGGAAAGACGAGTTCTGTTTTGGACATATTGAATTTTGAGATATTTATGGGACATAATTCCTAGACTTCTCATAAGAACTGTGCCCTGAGTACCCAGGCACTGGTCATAAGGTCCAGGAGTAAGGCTTAGGAAGTTTCAAAGGAATGTCAAAAGAACTAGGGACTGAAGGATTAATGAAATAGAAAATGTAACCTGACATAGAAAATGAGTAGGTACAGTTTAGTGAGAACAATGATAGCTGGGATTGTTCCTGTATATTTCCTCACAATCTCTTTGCTCTTAACCCTTCTGGCCTTGTCTTTTCTCATTGTCTGAAAGGGATAAACCCTAGAAGCACCCTATACTCCTAACAGAGTGTAGCCCTGTGTCCGGCACATAAAAGGTGTTTAGTAGGAACTTGTTGACTCACTGACTATAGCTAGTGTAACCCCTGTCCCAAAGTCTGTTGGTGTCAGAGTCTCCTTTTTGGTGGAGATGAAAGCCCTATCCTATGTGTGGGGGTGGACAGAGTTGGTGAGAGACAGAGAGCTTCAGTTCTCTGAATTTCTCCCTTTAGGACTGGTCAAGCTTCAAGTTTTCTTTGAACATTGAGTGCTTTCAACTTTAAGACAGAAGATGGAAGAGACCAACACCACTCCACTCAAATTTAAGAAGTTTGTCTTCTTAGGTATTTACCTGTCAAGGAGGTCACAATCAAATACCTACAGGGCAATTAACATCCTATTAATAAGGAATATTATAATATAAATACAATCCCATTAGACTGTGAGCTCCTTGAGAGCAAGGATTGGGTTGGGGTTTTTTTTGTTTTTGTTTTTGTCTTGCTTTTCTTCGTATTATCAGTACTTAGCACAGTGGCACAAAAAAGGTATTTAATAAATGTTTGTTGACTGACAGACTATGGTCTGGAGATCCTTATTAAGTACCCAAAATCTTTTTAAAAGCACCCCCTTTTGCCTATGTTTTGGGTTTCTATGGTTTACCCCTACTTATCCTAATTCATTAAGGCTGTAGCTACACATGAAAAGAAAGTGAAAACTTGAGTTGAAAATTCAGCAACTCCTTTGGAAAAAATGCTGAAATTTTTGGTCTTAATGCTGGCTTTATTTCATGATGTGAATAATTTGCCATAATGAGGAGGCAAAAAAGAGCCTAAAAAGTGTTTTAGTCAGTAAGTACTTGACTTCTGAAATGACAAGACAGAAGATCCAAAGGCAGCACCAGTTAAAATAAAATCTTGTTCATAAAATCTCGATTAGGAGAATGGTGAAAGATTATGAGGTGTCACCTTATAAAATAAAGAGAAGCAGTATAGAATAAGACCAGTTTAAAGAAAGCTTGGCAAGAGCATTAACTAACCAAACACATTCCGACCGCAAAGTGATGGAACGATTGAGAAGATCTACAAAGATTTTTATGACAAATTCCATTCATCATCAAGAAGAGTAGAAACCACTTCGTCTGGATTTTAACAGCACATTCCTGGATATACTTAGAGAGTAGGAAGAAACATCACTTAAGAGAATAAAGACAGTAGAAGCACTTGAATTAGATGAAGTATATGGAAAGGAGATTTGTGCCGGAGGGACACAGTCATGAACACACTGAAGGGTTGACGACAAGGTATCTAAAACAGAAGAAGATACCAGAGTTGTGGGAAAAAATCTTGCATCTTATTAATACCAAAAAAGGGAACTGTGAGAACATCAACAACCACTGACCTACAGGCCTACTTTTCCATCTATATAAAATTTTTATGAGAATAATCTGTATATACATTTGCAAGAATCCTTGATGAAGACATGAGTAGGAAACATGCAGGCTTTTTATGTGATTTTTCTACAGTAGACAACATCTATACCATCTTACAATTGACTAATAATTGTAAACAAAAAGCTTTTTATTTAGGAGCAAAACATTCCTTTGAAGATTCTCTTCCAAGAAGGTGTCTTCCATGCATACATCAAAGATATGTCAAATTCCTTGAAAGCTATGACAATCCTTGTTCAACATACTCTCTGATCAATAATATGAAGCAATGTATAAAACAGGGAGATATATGCTCTGGTAAGATATTTGGCACTGTCATGGGAGGAGACCAGGGAAGATTCCAAGTTGAATAGGGAATCTCTAGATGATGGTCCCCAAGATGGTCTTGTTAGCAGATAACATTATGTGGGTCACATCAGGCCCTGGAATACCTTAGAGTCTCCTAGAGATATTCATAATTACTCAAAAGAGTTTGATCTAACCATCCACACAGGAAAAATAAGTGGATGAAGAATGCCTGATGTTTGGATCATGAACTGCATTTACATGGACATCAGGGATTCCCTATGGGGAGTGAGGTCCCAATAAAGCTATATTAGAGTGGGGAAAGACTGTAAAAAAAAGAGACCAGAGAGGAGACTATTACAGTAGTCCAGATGAAGAAGGCTATAACAAGGGTCTTAATAAAGATGGTGGGCATGTGAATGGAAAGGAAGATCTAGATGCAAAACATTGCCAAGGTAGATTGATGTGACTTAGAAACTGATTGCATATCTGGTTGGGGGAGGGATATGAAAGAGTAAAAGATAACTCAGATTTTGAGCTAAGAGTTGCTGAAAGGATAAAAAAAAACAGGCAAGTTGAAAGGAGGGGCAAAGATAGGAAGAAAAATGATGATTAGTTCACTTTGGGACAGATTGGATTTTAATTCCTAGTAGTGTATGTAAGTAAAGATGTCCAACAGGCTGTTAGAAATGCAAGACTAGGGCTCAGAGGAGAGCTCAGGTCTGAATATATGTGCTCCATATGGAAGTGATAATTAAATCCACGGTAAAGAATTAGATGAAGAAAGGAGAGAGAATAAAGAGAAGAAAAGAGGAGTGAGGATTGACTTGGGGATATACCTAATACTTAAAGGGACTTCAGAGGTCACCTCATCCAAATCCCTCATTTGACAGAAAAGGAAACTGAGCCACAAAGAGATTAAATGACTTGCCCAAGGATATCCAGTAAGTGGCAGGGCTAGGATTTGAAGTAGAAGGAATACCTCCACAGATATCCCTCCTCCCAGGAAGTCTCTTACCAGTTCTAAGATATTATGATCCTATCAACTCAGACATGACTGGCCAAACATCTTACTATGAAGTAACCCCGGATTCTTTGTCAACTTCTTTGGGCAGCCAAACCTGCTAAACAGATACCAGAGTTCAGGCTTACTGATAATATCACATGCTTTAGGGAAGTCAACAAATTAATTTTAGAGGAATTAGTGTAGTTTTCCTTTATCTTCTCTATGGAAAGATCCCATTTTTCAACCCACTTTATGGGTCCCAAAATATGGCATAAAACCACACTACTAAGTATTGCTGTGCATAGAGCAATGTGATGTTCTCAGGCACCTGGCCACAGAGCCTTGGATTGGTCTTCAGCCAGTGATAGAGAGGAGTGTTTGGCAGGAATTGTTTCTAGCACTTAACATATGCCTTGTATACAGCATGCACTTAATAAATGTTTGTTGAATTGGAATATTAGTCATCTTTCAGGTATTTCCTCTTGAAGATAATAATTATTGTGACATCTTTGTAATCCTGTGGCATTTCCCTTTTTGGCCACATTTTGGTTTGAAGAGAAATTTTGGGAGGGAAGGAGATGTGAAATCACATGAAATCATTCCCAGATAAAGAAACTGCCTCTACCCATGCAAGGTGAGACCTTCTCTGCTACCATAACTCAGAGTTGCCTAGTGCAATAGTGTCAAACTCAAATGGAAACCCAAGTATCCTTGTGGTCCACATATCGACAGTTTTAAAATGTAATATTATCTATGTTTATTATTATATTTTTATTTATTTTGTTCAATATTTCCCTATTAGATTTTAATCTGGTTCAGGCTGCAGTCCGGAGCATTGGGGCCTGAATGCAGCCCAGCTGGTTTGTCATGTCTGGCCTAGAGCATCCAGAGGTGAAGTGACTCAGGGATGAAAGTGATTTGACCAGGGTCGCACAGCCCATACATGTCAGTGACAGGACTTGTGCTCAAATCTTTCTAGTTTTGAGGCTGTTGCTTCATATTCTACACCACATTGCTTCTCAGACCCAAGCAAATAACAAGTTCTGAGTGGGCTGGATAGATTCCAGGCTAGATTTTTAAAAATAATACTGACAATCAACAGATTTTCTTGGTAGTTTAAGTGCTGCACTCAGGTTACTGTTGACAAGTAGATGATATTAAAATACAGTAGCATGTGAGCACTGTAACCTCTCTGAACATCAGTTTCCTCATCTGTAAACTGGGGGGATTGAATTAGATTGCCCATAAGGTTGCATTCAGCTCTAAGTATATGTTCTTATGATTCTATAAATACCATAGAAATATGACCTATTATTATTACTTTGATCCCATTTAATACTCTATGGCATGCCCTGAGACTTCAAGCTGAGTTGGAATGAAAAGGAGGTTCTGCATATAACACTTCCCATACTCTCTCCTCCTTCTCTCTATCATGAGAACTATCTGCTCTGCTCAGAATGATTTAGGGTCTGTTCCTTAGATTACAGGCTTGAAACCCTGGACTTGGGGATTCATTCAAGTTTGTGCCAGCCCTGACTCTGCTTCCCAAATTAGGGGTCCATTTTATTATCAGAGCTGAAGTCATCTAGCAGCAGACAAATAAGGCTTCTATGAAGGAATCCAGGGCCACTGTTGGTCCTATTTGTCTAGACAACAAAGCCCAGAGTCAGGGAGAGAAAGCAGGGGGAGATAAAGAAGAAGGAGGAGGAAGAGAAGTAGAAAAAAGGAGAAGGAAGAGAAGAACAAGAACAAGAAGAGAGGAAGGGGACAGAGAGAGAAAGAGAGAGACAGAGAGAGAGAGAGAGAGATCGGCATAGGAGGCGACGTTCTCCTGTACTTAAACAGATTTCTAAGCAGATCTTCCTTTCTCTGCCTAAATATCTTAGCAGATACTTATGAAGTATTTATAACCAACCATTACATGTAATTTAAGAGATCAAGGATATCAACACATAATTGAAATCCTTAGATATCCCCAAATCCTAAATTTGGTCCATAGTTTTTAACATTTTGGGTTGCAGTGAGAAGACCTTACTGAGTGGGGCCAGGAATAGGCAACATACTCCTTGCTCTCCACTTTTGTGTCCAGACCCTTACTTGGGTCCAATCTCTCAAGCAACCTTTTCTTATCTGAGGGTCCCTCTGAATCTCTCATAGATGTTAACAAGGTACAAAAATAATTAGTTTAGTTTCTTTCCTGCCATATCTTCCATAGCTTCATCACCAAAGGCCTTACATGTGTTTGTCCTTCTCTTTCCATCTCACATGCCACCCCCTTTCAGTTCTTCAGTTCTGGAACCAAGAAATATTCATCTGCCACTGTACCTGGGTGGAGTGTGTCATCTATTGCATGTGGATCTACTCAATCCATTTTACTTTCTGAACCTAAGTTGGCCACCACTCTTTGGCTGTGATTTTCCTATGCTTGTTGTTTTCCTCTATCAAAATATAAGCTCCTGGAGGGTAGGAACTATCTTTGCTTCTGTATAAGCTCCCCAGAGCTTATCACAGAGCTTGGCACATAGTAAACACTTAAATGATTTTCCAGTCATTTTTCTTCTTCCTGCTAATCCTCTGATACATGTACCTATGAAATGGCTAACAGAAAAGCACCAGCTGGAAGAAAGAGACACAAAAATAAGCCTGTATGATCCACTCCAGATTTTCAGCTCCTGACTTACTTCATGGTTAACTGGACTGCTTGTTATCACTTTTAAGTGTTTAAATTTCCTCTTGCATTCCCCACATGCTTCATGCTTCTTTGTGGCCTAACCCTTGAATGGCAGGTCAGAGAAAACATCCTCTGTTTATTCTTACTGATAATAACTACACCTATCCATGGCTTTGAATTTTAACAAAAATTATAATCAGGGGAGCAAAATACTCGCATTATGAAGAGTGGGGTATATCTCAAGTAGCTGAAGACTTCTTCCCAGGAAGCCTTGTTGAGGTGCCAGGAACCAAAAAACCTTAGCTCTTTTAAAGATTCCCAGCAGTTAAAAATAATTCAAGTGGCCACAGGTGATAACTGATATAAACAAGTTGGTTTAATTGCTGAGGCTGAGCATCTTCCCTTTTACAGTCTATTAACTGTGCATTCATTATTGTAGCTAAAAGAGAAACCTACTGCAGCAGGGGATCTGTGGATTCATTAGGAAGAACTGTGCCTGGTAAAGTAAATGTTTTTAAATTGAGCTGTAGGGAATCCTGTTTGAATAAGTAGTTGACCAGGAATAACATCATTTCTGGATAACATTACATCACAGCCCTGACAATAATCTTTACTTTCTGGATTTAAGACAACTCAACATAAAAGCCAGCCGACGACTCACCTCAGGGGTTCCCTTCACAGTGACAGATGTTCTGGGAAAGCCATCATATCTGTGGAAAGAATTTGAAAGTTTCTTTAAAGATGAATCTAGGGAGGAGGTCAGTTATTAAAAGAAAGGCCTCATAGATAACCAAAATATTCATAGAAGCACTTTTTGTAGTAGCAAAGAACTGGAAACAAATTGGATATCTATCCACTGGGGAATAACTAAACAAATTGTGATATGTGAATATAACTTAATATCACTGTGGTGTAAGAAATGACAACTGTGAAGAATAGAGAGGTATGGGAAGACATATGAACTGAATCAAAGTGAAGTAAGTAGATCTAGGAAAACAATATACAAAATGGCTTCAACCACATCAATGGGAAGAACAACAAAAGCTCCACTGCCCCCAAAAATGAATGCTATAGATCAAGCTCGTCCCCAAAGAAGAGATATGAGAATATAGCTCCCTTCTTTCTTGGCAGAAATAGGGGACTTTGCATATGATGTTGGACTTGTTTGACGTGTAAGCTGCCTTTTCTATCTCTTTTTAAAAAAGTGGTTTTTTTTTTCCTTTTGAGACTATTTCACCCAGGCTGGAGTGTAGCAGCCATTCAGGGGCCAACCCCACTGCTAATCGGCATGGAAACTTGGAATTGTTCTGTTTCCAACTTGGGTTGATTTGCCCCTCCTTATAGCTAGGCAGGTGGCCTCAAGCTCCCAAGGGCTCACCTTATTGGTGCCTGACTTAGTCCAGGCACACAACCAGCTTTAGCCCTCCTGCAGCTCAAAACTCCCAGACTCAAATAATTCACTTGCTTCAGCCAGGGGTGGGGAACCTGTGGCCTCGAGGGCACATGTGGCCCTCTAGGTCCTCAAGTGTGGCCCTTTGCCTGAATCCAAACTTCATAGAACAAATCCCTTAGGTTCCCTGCCCCTGCAGCCAGTAGTAAGGACTCCATGTGTGTACACCACACTCAGATTTTTTTTATTCTTTGTTATAAGAGAAGACTCTGGTAGAGGGAGAGGAGAGGGTTATATTGAATAATAAAGGTAATATAAAAATGAAAGACATCAATTAAAATTTAATTCAAAGTAAGATGAACCTAGGATTAACAAGAAGCAAAATAACATTTCATCCTCCTTCATCGATAGAAAAAATATTTTCCCAGAAGTTGTTTTCTAGGAAGATATTACACAATTTAGTACATAATAATATTAATGATACTGATAATAATGAACATTTATTTAGCATCTACTATGTGCCAGACACTGTGCTAAGAATTTGTGGGCCTTAGTTAAAATAATTTATAAATATTATCTCATTTGATCCTCACAACAACCTTGGGAGGTAAGTGTTTTATTATCTTCATCTTCAGTTGAGAAAACTGGGGCAAACACGTTAAATGACTTGCTCAGGGTCACACAACTAGTTAGTATCTGAGGTTAGATTTGAAATCAGGTCTTCTGGAATCCAGGCTCAGCATTCTATCCATTGTGCCACCTACCAGCCTAGTAAATATCCTGAAAAAACCCCAACAAAACTAAAACATTTTGGACAGTTTCCCCATAGTTACTTAGGATGGATAAGATGGATGGTTATCAAGTGTGTAGCAAAGAATGAGTGCATCATAAAGAGCTGGTATGATTTTATCAAGAATAGGCCAAGATGAGTCCTTCTTTGACAAGGTTACTATACTGGCAGATAAGGGGAAATGCTGTAGATAAAATTTACCTGTATTTTAGAGAAGCATTTGACAAAGTTTCTCATGATTTTCTTTTGGACAAGATGGAGAGATGTAGTTTAGATGACAGCACAATTTTGTCCTCTGGGGACCACAGATAATATAGGAAGATTCAAAACTGCTCAAATGGCTGATTTCAAAGGCTAGATATCAAAGGTGTAATTCCAGCTGGGAAGGAGGTTTACAGTAGAATGTCTCAGGAATCTGTGCTTAGAGCTGTGCTGTGTAACATTTTCATCAATGACTTGAATAAAGGCATAGGTGGTATGCTTGCTTATTAGATTTTCAGATGACAAAAAACCGGAAAAGACAGCTAACACTGGTTGAGAGCATTCAAAAAAGATCTCGACAGGTCCAAATCTAACAAGAAATTTAAAAAGATAAATGTAAAGTTCTACACTTGAGTTAGTCAATTTCACAAGTACAAGATGGTTAGATGGTATTTTGAAAAAGATCTTCGGGTGTTAGTAGGTGGCAAACTCAATATGAGTCAACAGCAGGGTTGTTTTGTTTTGAACTAGAACCGTGATCTCATTGGCATGGGGAGCTCCTGAGAAGGAAACCTGTCTACCAAGGCAGATTGACACCTGCTCTGCCACTTATAGTCTTAGACAGTTGCCTAGGGCACTGAGAGGTTAGGTGACATGTGCAATGGGGATATGAGATAGCATGGCTTAGTGGGTGGAGTGATAGAAATTCAGTCTCAGATACTTAAAAGTTGTATAACCCTGAGCAAATCACTTAATCTTTCTGGGCCTCAGTTTCCTCACATATAAAAATATGGGGGTTGGAGTAGATGACCTACAAGATCATTGCTTTTAGCTCTAAGTCTATGACCCTATGATGGTTGTAATTTATGTGATTTATGGCTTCCATGAGGAAGAGTGAGTAGATTTATTTTGGTGGTCAGGAAGACAGAACTAGGAGCCAACAGGGGAAGTTACAAAGAAGCAAATTAAGGCTTGATGTAATTTCTTAAAAATTAGAACTATTCAAAAGTGAACTGGGCTTCATTGGAAGGTAGGGTTTGAAGGTTCCTTGGAAGGGTATAGGTTTGAAGACCCCCATCATTGGAGGTCTTCAAACAAAGAAAGATTTGTTAGAAGGTAAGCTTTTTGAAAGTAGGAATTTTTCATTCTTTGTATTTGTATCTCCAGTACTTACCATAGTGCCTGACATAACAAACACTTAATAAGCTCTTATGGATTGATTGATTGATTGATCACCATTAGTAAAGTATATGTAGAGAAATTCCTTTTCAGGTATGGAGTTAGATTAGATGGGCTTCGTGGTTCCTTCCACTTCCTAGATTCTGAGATTCTGAATGACAAATGTCAGAACCCAGCAGATGCTTTTCTACTGGCACATGTGTTTTTTACACAGGACACTCACTGTCTTTTTTTTTTTTAAGAGATGAATCTGGAATAGATTTTACAATTAGAAATAAGATTTTTTAAAAATAAATTCTTTTGTGGAATCCTTCAGGATAATGTTTTTACAAAGATAGCATATTTATTCCCCCACTAAAATCCTCCCATGATGCTTTATTGTAGCCTCAAATGACTCCTAGGTGCCAGAAGGCAGAAAGGCATCTAGTTACCAATCTTGTGACTGTTATCTGTATATAGCTTGCTTTTATATGTTTGTGTGTTGTCTATCCCATTGGATTGTAAGCTCCTTGAGGGCAAGGAAGGTCTTTTGCCTCTTTTTGTATCCCTGGCACTTAGCACAGTGTCTGGCACACCGTAGGAGCTTAAGAAATGATTGCTGATTGATTGATTTGAGGCCCAGTTTAGTTAGGCTTGGAGAGGGTCCTTAATAGTGAGCAAGCAGCCAAAGACGGATGTTTTTCATCACAGCTACTCAGGAAGACTTCTGTTAAGGCACAGAGAGATTTTAGTCTGGCTCATTGAAGGGAATACTCCAAAATGATGAGATCACAAATCTTTGAGGTATTGTAGATGAAATACAATTTACATTTATTATAGAAGCTTTCTTTGTGAAGGCCCATGGTGTTTTATTCACTCAGCTTTTACTCTCACAGTGGGTTTGGTTGAGCTGAAAAATCATTTGAGAAATTTTCAATATTTGAATACGCAAACAGGTGCCAAATCCAATACTATTTGAAAGTTTGTGGGCCTTAATTACTCAGCACTCTACAGAACTCCAATACATGGATACTATAGAAAATAGGAAACAAACTAATTAAGTCAGAAGAGTTCCCAAAACAGAATTCAGTCATAAGGTAATAGATTTAGAGCTGGAAGGGACCTTAGAAAACACATCTAATCCAATTCTCCCCCATCTTACAGATGAGGAAACTGAGGCCCAGAAGAGTTCAATGACTTGATCAAATCCCAGTCTCTTTCTGCTGTAGAATGCTGCCTCCTGATCTTGAATTCACATCACCAGCTACTTGGCAGTTTCAGTTACACCAAACCACGAACATTGACTGTCAGTCTATGCACTTTATGACCTTAGGTTTTTAATTTTAAAACTCCTGTTATTTTTGATGTAACAGGGCTAGAGTAATCACTGTTTAACTTATTTTTATGGAGTTCAAATTCAAAAGCATAAGTAGAATGAGTACTGTGGTTTTTTACTATTACTCTCTTTGAAATGCGAGTGATGTTAACTATACCTAGAATTTCCATACTGCCTTTATGTCCATTAATTTATGCACTCATTCAATAGTCATAAGACCTTGAATCAGAATACCCGAGTCCAATCTTGGCTTTGCTGTTTACTAGCTATGTGACCTTGGAGAGGTTATTTCACCTCTCTCGACCTCAGTTTCCTCATCTATTAAAAAAGGGCTTTGGAGTAGATGATCTGTTGGGTTCCTTCTAGTCCTAAATGTCTGATTGTACTTGCTGAGTACTTAGTGTACATGAGACACTGCATGCTAGGTATTATGAGGAGTGAAAAAAAAAAAAGACCTAGTCCCTTTCTAAAGAGAATTTATAACCTAATAGGAGAGATAAGATGAACATACAGATAATTACAAACTAAAATAGAATCTGCTAAATGCTATACTGGTGATGTGGGCAAATTACTATAGGAATTTAGGGGAGAAAGAGATCACTTCTAACTGGGAGTAATAGGGAAAGGAACAGAGGAAGCAGCATTAGAGTAGAATACTGAAAAACTCCACAATCAATCAATATTTATTTTGTTGTTCAGTGGTATCCAATTCTTTATGCCCCCATTTGGGATTTTCTTGGCAAAGATACTGGATTGGTTTGCCATGTTCTTCTCCAACTCATTTTACAGATAAGGAAACTGAGGTAAACAGGGTTTGCCCGGGGTCACACAGTTA